TTCCAAGACACTACGTTTCACTGAACAGTGGCCATGCAAATAGGGACGAATATTTATATAGGTTTCTACTATAACCCTATTTCGAGAGATCTATGTAGGTATGTTATAAATATGTGTTAAATTAATTTATAGGAAAAATTACGTACCTTCACAGGTATTATGTTTAGTATAAAATGAAAATGAAATGCCAACGACTGAGTTGCCTTAAGGTAGGTAAAGTTGACTGCTTCAAGTGCGGCACTAGATAGGCACGAACGAGCCATAAATTATATCTAAACAATATATCTAATCGTTATTCAATTGTAGATAATTAATGCGTCATTAAATGTAGACTGGTAGAACAATATTTAAAAGTATTGGCCACGTGTTTTTCCTTTTTTAACAGATTTAAAAACTTATGGCGGTTGTTTTCGAAACATCGCATCCGCATCCGCATAGCGCCTCGTGCTGTCGTGCATAATACCTTTCTGCCTTCATTTGGTACAATAATATCTGCGTGGTAATGTAGCGAGGTTCAGTTCTTTAACTTGAATTTGCTTCTCAAACATTTTCACTGAGTTTGACAAAACAAAAACTACGTTACTAGGTGAATCGTGTTGGTATCTAATATTCTTCCATAACTTATGTGATGGACTAATGCGAATGTCTAATTTTCGTAAGTATCACGCCTTGATCCCAATAAACTATAGTTAACTAAATACAACCCATAGTAGAGAAGAATTTGGTTGTCTTTGAATGATTGGAACATGTGCACGGAACGGTTTTCAGCATTCATCAAAATATCTTAACCATTGCATAAGATTACAGCTGTGCGGCTGTGACTAAATGTCGTAATATTGTATCGGCTGCATTTATTTTTAAAAAGTACAGCAGGGAGCCGTTCTACTTACCCACTGTCACTCATTTAGATGCCGAAACGAACAAGAGATCAGAACGTCTTGATTAAAATTAATTGCCATCTTTAAATAGATTTGTACAATATATTTTTAGTAGCAAAGAAAAACGTTTGTTTTGTTTTCCGTCTTGTGTGTTTAGTTTTCAGGTAGGTAGGTACCTACTTCCTTATAAAAGTTCTATAGTAGGTTTATTCAATATATTATAGGTTAGTTCAATAGGTACTCATTTGGGATTTTCTTAACTAAAATATTATGAAATATCCAAATGTGTGTTACTTACGAGTTACGCGTGATCACTCAGTATCTAGTTTAGGTGTTTTCACACCAAAACTGCTGAACGATTCATGATGCCTTTTTAAAATTGTCAGCAAAGAGACGACCATATTTTATAAGAAATCTACATAACATCACGCCTTTTATCCCCGAACCCACTTTTCACTATTTATGTTATGAGTCCCATGTAATAGGGGGTGAGCCTATTGCCATATACCGGGCACAATTCCAGACTCCGTGCTACTACTGAGATTTTTTTTAAAACCCAGTAATACTTTGCCCGACCCGGGAATCGAACCCGAGACCCCTTGCCCGGCAGTCGCACTTGCGACAACTCGGCCAACGAGGCAGTCAATCAATCATATAAGATATCAGTTAAAAGTAAACGACGTGGGTTAAATGGAGAGAAGCAAATGATTGAATTTATTCGGTCAATGTTATGAAGCCTTAATAAAACCCCCTTTCTGCAGTGCAGTATGTTTTTAAGAGGTTGTTTTTAATTAGCCTTCATGTCGTAAACATGCTATAACCGAGTGAGTAATGTCAAGTAGCATGAAACTAAAGTACCTACCTAGGTACCTACTTAGTACTACATTTACATTCGCAATTTCGTACATCGTGATTGCTTATCGCTATAAAAACATTTTTCAATAAAGTTTTACAATGAAAGTTATCCTTATCAATTACTTAATTATAGCAAGTGATAAGAATTACGCTGCCCTCCAACCAAAATTGTGTCGAATTGACACATGAGTTAATGATACAAGAATGATATCTACAGTTCTGCTAGAATCTATGAGTTACAGATAGGTACCTACATCTTTAACCTGTATCTACTTCTTCCTCTTTGTGTACAACAAAACCTATTACATTATATTTCATTTTGATTTTTTATTATTGTTTAACATTTGGAACCTATATTTCCCGCTATTTTTGTTAACGTTTCATGTTACCTACATCCTATAGGTATTGTCGTATACCTACCTACTTATTGTGTGGTCCCGCGTAATTGAGAACAGAATAAAAATTTCTAGTAATAACATTTTTTACACTTGAAACAGTAAGAATATAAAAACCCTATATTATAAAATAATATAAAATGAATATTCAGTATTTCATTACTACTAACGCCATCTGTTGTCGGATAGTGAAAAAAAAATAACATACCAATAAGGCTTTGTAGATACAGCTAAAGAACTTATATTATGTTTATTAAATAAACTGCAATGAGCATGAAATGAAAATCTATAATAAAGTATATTATGTAGAAATAACTAAGTATTAATATTCGCTATTATATACTAGTATATTAGCTATTGTAACGACTCGAAGAATGTCGATGATTGCATATTTTTTGTATAATTTTTCTATTATTTATTACTAACTTTTGCCCGCAGCTTTGCGGTTTTATCCCATGGGCGCATTAATCGGGATAAAAAGTATCCTATCACCTAAGTCAGCCCATACCCTGCCGGTTGGTATTCAGGCAGGGTACCTATTGACAATAACCAAATTAGTATGAAGAGTACCTACAGCTTTTTAATTTTTTCGCGGCAGTTGATCGGATATGGAAAATACACACAAACAAAAAAAATATAGGTAAGGTCTTATTTAAAAAACTCAGTCCGAACTGAGTTAAATCAGGTCAAAGATGTGAAAATAGTGCTATGTTATTCACGGAATATCTATATATTCTTATTATTTCTATATATTCTTATCTATATTTTCTTATTCTTGTTATTTTGTTGATAGTGACCGTACACAATGCATATCTTCTTCATTTACTCAGAACTATTTGGTAATACATATTTATAAACGATTTCAAGGACTAAAACAGATTTTATGATGAACTATTTTACCTATTTTTTTTATGAAGCCACGGTATCATACCAGAGCGTGGTTTAAGCAAATAAACTGTTAACCAGCGACGCGCAAGTAAAAAAATCGTTCCGTGTGATTGACGAGCGTCTTCGCTTTTAAGTACGGGTTTATGACGTATGACAGATTTTCATGACCAATTTCCTTTCATTCGAAAACCCGCAAAATACTTCACTGAGCCTTATTATGAAATGCTATGTTTGTCAACTACGGCTTCAATAGCGAATTGAGCAGCGGCAGTCGTCAAAACATGAAAAAAAAACATTTTTCTTTCGACTTCTCCTGACTAGTACCTAACTTATCTTACTATATCTAATACTCTAATTTACAGTTAGCTTAACATTTTCAGAAAGATATCATCATCCGGTCACAGAGTGATGGATTGGAATTGTGCCCGGTATATGGCAATAGGCTCACCCCCTATTACATGAGACTCTTAACATAAATATTGAAAAGTGGGTGTCACATTGTACAGTGGGCAATGTGGGCAAGAGGCCTGATATTGTGTTCTGTTGTGTGATCACACAAATATGAAAAATATATGCCCTCATCTGACGTATAATAGTCCAACACTTCACAACCAGCTGATGCTTCCCTTTCTTCTTATAAGATTAGGCTAACTGTAATGTAGATGAGTCTCCAAACAGGAGTAAACGGCTAAAATAAATTATACTTAGTTAGATATTTGGGCGGCTGCCACTACTCAACCGAAGCGCAGTTGACGCTCACGAAGCTTCATGACACAACTCCTTGAAGTATCCTACAAGTTATCGGCGGAGAGAGAAAATAGCTAATAAAAATGAGTGCCTGCCACGGATGGTATCCATATTGTGGTGTGGTGCAATGGTGCCTATGCCAGGCATACAGTGGCGTGCAATTTGAGTGAAAAAAACATGAATAATATGAATGCAAAAAATAAAATAAAACGTTCGAGTCCAGCTCCTTTCAACGCTCATAACTTAGTCGGGTCGGGACTGAGATTATCATATATGAGCATAGGCAATTTCGTTTGTACTGTCATTTCAGATAATATTTTTCATAAATCATTTTTTATAATATTATTGTGATCTGACATGCTAGACGGGACCACAGCATACAAGGGCGGTTATAAGCCAGAGCATAACTATTATAGATTCCAGATTTATACTCTAAAATAATCTGTAATTTTAAGCATAAATTTAATATTTTAGGGTTTCTAGTACACTTTTTGCATATTTTGTAGGAATTTTATTTTGTAAAGTATGTTATCAAAATAAAAATCATGATTAAAAATATTTTGAACATAATTCACGAAGTCGTCCTACCATTTACCTAAGAAAGTATTGTTTCTCGAACTTAAACTGTTAATACGGACAAGTTTTATTTGAACTTTAAGTTATCGTTTCCACTCATGGTGACAATAAACCCGTATAACAGATGCACACAGTTAGCGATAACATTGACAACTCATATTAGGTCATCGATTTTTAGATCGATACATTTATTTATACGTATTATGTTGTAGGTATGTGAATGTGTCTTTCATATATCAAAAATGTGTCTTTCATACATACCTGCAGAAACTATTTCCATCCATAAATGAGTCGATTAAAGAATTGAGTATTTTTTTTTAAATGGTATAGAATGCACACAAGCAGACGGATCACTGCAGCAAATGGACAACACCACTAGTAGAGCTACAAGTGTGTTGTACAGATTGAAAGAGGGATGTTGGTTTCATTTCAGATCATGGAAATATTTTTCTGTAATAAAACTATTAGTTTTATTAATTATTTATTTTATTACTGTCCCCAAAATGCAAGAATTACAAAAAAGCTTATCTACCACAATACCTAGACATGAAACAATAATAAATTGTGACACTATTTCTGTCTCATTACATAGATGATGTATTTTATTAATTTTATTTAAAGGCCATTACAGGAGCCATTTACACATTTGAATAATATAAGCCTAAGCACTACTAAATACTTCATATATGTTAGCCCCTAGAAGTTTCAACTTGTCACTTAATGTGAGTTGCTGAGTCAATAAATCTGGAATGTTAGTGTTACCCTTACATGTGTTCTTTGTAATGAGTTCACTAATCACAGGTAAGAGTTTTACAAAGTGTATTTCTACTTTATTGACATCTACAAAAGTGTCAGGACTCGCTCCTAGTTTCAATGCCCCATTTGTGATTACATGATCAACATTTAGCTCTAAATGATTCTTCGTGGTGGGAGCAGATTTAGATACAAATAAGTTAGCAATTTCATCTATGATAGATGAGAAGCTGCGACTTACAGATGACATGGTAATGGTGGTGATTTCATCACTTTCTAAAAGATCCATTGTTTCTTTAACAATGGTGTCTAGTTTTGCCCCACTGATCTCTGCATTACCCATTAAGTACTGCACCATTTTCTTAACAGGGTCACCTTCTACAGTGTCTGTACACAATATAGTTTGTATAGACCAGAATATTTGCTCCACCTCTTGCAGTGTCATCTTTTTCTTTAAGGATACAGGGTCAACAACTTTCTTCACAGCTGTCTCTATCTGTTTCACTAAGTCTTCCACCCCTCTATCTACAAAATGGTGACATAGAGACAAATACTTTGCTTGCAGGTCACCATCTACAAGAGAATCTTCCTCGCGGACTGAATCTCTGTACAGGTAACCACCAATTATGTTAAGCTGTACTCGTAGTATCACTTGCAATATGTTCAGTGCATATACAAGGACACATATTCTTGTGAATATCATAATCTTCAATTGTTCCCATAATGCTAATTTGTTTTCTGGATTATCCTGCAGTTTTTGAACTATCTCTTCTGTGTTTAATATACTTAAAATACTTTCTGTCACAATTTTTGATAGTGATAATATTGTTTGGTTACATGTACGTTCAGTGCTCTCAAAGTGTTGCTTTTTACGAGTCATTTCGAAAAATCGTTTGGCCTCTTTTTCTTGCCATTCTCGCAATTTTCTCTGTGCATAACCGGTGAGTAAATATAATCCACCAAACACAGCACCTGTCACAATAAACTTGCGTTTGTGACGGCGCAAAAAGTCCTTAAACCCTTCCAACATTTTGTATACAAATTTTATGCTTACTTTACTGGAATAAAAGAGGTGCGTCAGAACGGTACTTAGTTGTGTTCATCAATCGTCTTGTTATGAAAGTTGTAGCGTCAATGAACCTTTCCACACAGTTCATTATGCACACCTCAGTCTTGGAGTCCAGCCGGTTGGTGGGCCGGCCCATGCATGTGTCCCAGCATGTGTCTGTTAGCCCGTGGACAAGAACCTTTAATGGAAAAATAAAACAATAATTAAATAAATGTATCAATAAATGTAATTCATTATGCCCATTAGGAAATACAAGACATTATATGGTAATTAACATTAAAATATTCAAGTTATAATAAATACTAGGTACATGATAAAAGCACAATATTATCACTTTATTGTTATTATCATTTTAAGTCAAGGACTTTAGTCAATTAGATTATATTTAAACTGCATTAGTTAGTCATTAAAACAATAAATTCTTTTAAAAGTCGAAAAGTATTAAATTAAAACAGTAGACCACAATCATTAGGTAAACTAAACAATGTTCGGTCAAAGGTCGAGGGTGGCCTGGGACACTTGAATATGCGTAATATTTTAAGCAATCTTATATTTCGGTAGAGTTTTAATTAAATAACAATATTTATTAAATAGACTCACTTGGAAACGTTGTTTCTGCGTTTCTGTGAGGATAAAGTTTTCTAACTGTGGATCTTGCAACTGTGCTTCGGTCATAATCAGTGATGAGGGCAATAAAATAATTTCTTCTCAACAAATACAGAAAAATAACATGTAATAACGCTTACATATGAAATGTTGTAAAAATGTAGGAAATGTGCCTGTCTGTCTGTCTGAGAACAGAGAATTAATATTTTTCCTTTTTTTACAGAGAAGAGAAACGAGAACCAGATTAATGTTGCCTTATAAATAAAATCAGTATTCACTACATCATTCATTCACTGTCGTTCATGTCACTTAATTAGTAAGTTATTACAATTCAATGTAATAGATACTAAAACAAAAATGTAAGTTTTACACCGAGTTAATCAATAATATTGTTTCTATAATTTTTACGTGTTTACAATATAATTTTTTTCAACTTATTAATTGTTAGTCATATTCAACATTCATAATATTTTTTTTCGTAATTTCGTTGCTGTCAGAACCTCTCTAGATGAGTTGTGGTTATTTTGGATTGTTGATAGTCGTGATTTTGAATTTTGTTTTAATTCTTCCAAGTATATAAAAATTTACAGTGTTAATAACAATGGCTCAAGTTAATCATTGGAAAATATTAACAGACTGTGATTTTACTGGATATACACTAGTTATACCAAGTGTGGCTGTTGGAAATGTTGGGCAACTTGCTGGTGATTTAATCATTTCTTCTTTACACATGACAAAGATTGGAATAATTTACAGTCCAGCACTTATTCCTATATCAGGATACGATCCTTATAAGATTGGTTCAAACTCTATATCAAGTTGCTGTGAACTTTATCAGTGTGCTGAAAGGAAAGTGGCCATTCTGCTGTTAAGGGCACCGCTAGTTTATAAGTACGCAAATCAATTCCTCACTGAAGTCGTGGATAAATTCAAGGCTGAGAATGTCAAGGACATTGTAATACTAACAAGTAGTTTTGCTCATGAGAGGAAGCATATAATGACATCACCTTTCCGATATGTTGTGAATGATCAATGTTTGTACACAAGTAAACTGAGGACTTTGGATTGGGTGGAACATGAAACTAAAGGCGAGCCCGTGAAAATACTTGGAGGAGGCTTTGCATCTCTACTGTTTGAAATTACCAAGGAGAAGTCTGTGCCATGCTTTCTCTTGTATAAGTTTGCTTCGGAGGGAGACAACATACCTGATGCTTATGAAATGGTGCAGTATTTGAACACTGTCATACCACTCTTCAATGATTCAGACCTTTTCACACAATTAGTCCCTCCAGTGTCATGGAACCTCATGTACGGAGGACCACCACCAAAAAATATTTATTAAATTTATACTAAATTTTGAATATTAAAAATATGTTTAATAAATTAATATTTTTAGTATAATAATGTATTTTTATTTTAATAAAAATTGGTCAAGTGTAAGTGAGTTACACCAATGATTTCAAACCAAGATAATAATAAAACTATCTCACAAAAAAACTTCAAAAATTCCAATACATTCAATTACAACTAGTAAGGTTACTGTTGTATACCTATACCTAGTAATACATTTACATACCAAACAAACATATTTTTTTTATAAATTACAATTACAATTTGACACCTAAATTAAGGGTATAATTTTTGTTGTTTTCTTTTACTTTCTTTTTATTTAATAGTTTAGTTGTAGTTAATTTTAAGTTGTAAATATTTATGTAGTTGTATAAATTATGATATACTGTACAGTATGCAAATGATATATTAGATAAATACTGGGCTTATATTACAATTTTATCATGCATTTATTATTATTAGCATTTTGTATAAATTTTAAACTCAGTCACATAAATACCTGGGATGCTGAAAAGACTTATCAACATGAACTGAGAACACCAAAATTTTTAAAAGCTAGAGTAAATGGTAAAGTTCGTATAAAAAGAACTAGATGGCGCTACCAGTACCTAACGAATTCAACATGAGTTTGGTCAACATCGAATAGTGTTGTTGGCAGTGGGATTTGGTTGGACCCAAATTAATTAGTTTTCACTACGTGTTGTTTCATAATGGTTTTTCTATCTGTCCCTCCTCAATATTCGTACTTCTTTTTATTTTTTTCTTGACGGGGAAACCTTTCAAAGGCGCCTAGCTTTTTGGGGAAAAAGACTAGGGAGTGTGGGATTTTTACCTCACTAATACCTCCCCAGTGGCCACCATCCGCACTTGAAGGAGGCACGGAGTCCTCTTAGTAGACCTCAATATTCGTACCTAGTGTAATTTGGTAATACCACTTTCGTTTTCATTCGAGACAGAAAAAGTCATAAAAGCGTTGTTTTGTTGTTACGATCACAGATGGAACTGTGAGGCGACTCTCAGTTTAATTACAAGATTGACCTAATTATTCATCTTTTCAATTTTCATGATCTGAGTAAATGAGTTCAAACTTTTTGATTTATGGCTAAAGTCCATAAAGTCTGATGGTTTTATTTTTATACGGTAGTTGTATTGTAACTTAATACGAAGAAATCACAAGAACATTTTAAGTTAAATACCTATGAACCTGCCAGGTACCGACGACTTATACGTATTTTTTAAGGGGGGAAAATGATCGAATGACTGCTTCCGCCGGTGCGGTGAGGCGGGAGGGAGTGTCAGACTCTTACTGACTAAAAACCACCCCGTTTCTTCTCCTGCACGTCGAGCCGGAGCCCCGGTTACCCGTTAGGTTCTCCGCAACGACTTATACGTATGTGACTATGATGATAGTAATGATACCTATCACTTATCAGTTTGTTACTAGGGCTAAGTCAAAAAGATCTGATCTGACTGCACAGTTGGTGCGGTGGCTGGGCAACCGGCTGCCGTGCAACGTGTCGCGGGTTCGAATCCCGCACGGAACAACACTGTGTGATCCACAACTCGTTGTTGCGGGTCTGGGTGTCATTGTGTATGTGAACTTGTATGTTTGTAAACGCACCCACGAAACAGAAAAAATCCTAGTGTGTATAAAATCTCTCACCAGTGCCGTCGTAGACTACGCTGGAACCTTTGGGCACACAATAATTCGGGGCCCGTTGTTTTAACGTTGCCCCACACGAGGATGTCTCCTGTATCGTGGATGGATTTACAAACATAAAACTTACAAGTTCACATAGGTACACATGACACCCAGACCCGAAACAGCAATTTATGGATCACACAAGGATTTGCTGCCGTGTGGGAATTGAAATTGTGTGTCCGTCGTAGAAATTGTCGGTCCTTCGGGGCCCCCTGAGGATGGGTGCCCTGGCCACGGGCTCCGAGTGCCCTTACGGTAAAGACGGTACTGCTTCTCATACGTTTTGGTAATAGGTCGCAGAAAACAGATGTATTCGATTTTACACCGTTTGTTAGTATAGTAAGGTCTTTTTTTAAGGGGGGAAAATCCTCGAATGATTGCTCCCGCCTGGTAGAGGCGGGAGGGAGTGTCAGACTTACTGACTAAAAACCACCCTGTTCCTACTCCTGCACGTCGAGCAAGGTCTAGACTAGATAAACTTAAAGAAGTTAAAGATACCTACCTACACTCATGAAAATAAATCCTATAGGTACAGAATGTCTACTATACGGGCTATATTATTATGTAGGTACGTCGGCAGTATAAAGTATTTGCAATCATTATTCCTACGAGAAATGTCTTCCACTTAACATTCAGCTGTGGCGCTTGTTTTAATTAATTTCAGTCCGACCGCGATTATGAGATGGATATAAACTAGAAAAAAGTGGATTACTCTAACTTATTGGTGTTTAAAGCAGAATAGAGTCGAGCCGCCTCTAAAGATACTAGAGTAGTAGTACCTGTCTATCTATCTATGTCTATAAATAGTAGATAGCGTGATGAGTGGTAAGTACCTAATTACCTTAATATCTAAAACCTTATTGTCATTTATTCATAAATATGTAATTTGTATGTCGCAGGAATTTTAACATAAAGATTTCAGGCAGGTTTAGTTGGTTTATTATTTCGCCGGTGATAGGCACCTACATCGGTAATGTATATTAAATGAATCTATATTACTCATACTTATCGGAAACAAAAAACCATAAATAGATATATCTGTGCAAGATTTATAGACACAGTCACTTCTCTATTTATGTTATAACAAATTGCTCGTCAAATAATTACGTGAGTGAGCCGAAAAACATAAACACTTCTCGTCTAATAAATGATCACACCTTTAATAAAAATACCTATCCGATAGCAAGTCCCATCAGGGGATACAAAGTACTGATGTACCTAACCTAATTTTTAACCTTCCTAAACTAGGTTCATAATATTAGAAACAATCTGGACATTTATCTACTAGTAGGTACCACTTATAACCTATCTAATTTACTATCTATATCTCGGTGTAACCAGCCAGCAATATTGTTCAAAACAATTAAGTCATAAAGAATTCGATCAATAATTTCAGACTAATTTTACATTTTTCCATGCCATACTTATTTACAGTTTATGACTCGACTTACGCAATAAGGCAATAAGTAACTATCATAATTAGTTAGTATTGTTAATTAGACAGTTATAATTAATATAAAGAACAAAACGTTTTGCTTGAAACTTTGTTTGGTAAATTACATTAGTTACGTACTTTCTTAATGTTGGTTTTCATTAACTAAGCGGTTGCGTAGATACTTGTATAAGAAAATATAATCTAAACTTCTGTTTCTAAGTCCGATGGTTTTGTTCGTGTAGGTATTGTGTGTTCATAAACAAAAGAAGATACATAGGCCTCATCTTTAGACGCTTATGATAAGTTCCTATCCATACTTATACCATCTAAATCAACAATGCGAGTGCTTAATTCCATCATCATCATCATCATCATCATCATCATCATCAACAGCCTATACCTAAGTGGCCACTGCTGACTAAAGGCCTCTTCTCACACGGAGAAGGTTCCAGCATTAATCGCCACGCTTGCTCAATGCAGGTTGGCAATTTCAAACTTAGGATTAGAAATTATAAGCTTTCCTCACCATGTTTTCCTTCACCGTTTGTCACTGGTATCTAAATAGTCAAATTGGTAGGTACTTGCTGTTGGTAGGTTTCGCACCCTCATGCATGATAAGCGGGCGCCTTAAACCTACTACGACTCTCAGTACTTAATTTAAATCTAAGTAAATAAAGCAGAAGACCTAACATTTCCTAATTACTTATTTTCTAATGTTAGTCAGTTTCACCGAAAGTCCCGGAAAATATGTTTTCACCCGAAACTAAACAGCTTAACAAGAGCAATAAACCTATACTCGTAGGGACGTAAACTTTGTAACTGCTACACATAATAATAATTAAAGTAATTGCGGATAGATATCATGTTACTGTTAACGTTATGTGCGAACTTAGGCTCTGGTGTCATAAAATAATTTCTATAGGACGGGCATTGGGTAATAATATGATATATGCATTTTATGTTAATTGTGGTTATTATTATCGACTTAAAATGTAGATAAATAAGGACTAGTATTGCTAGAGTTACTTTTCTGTGTAAAAATGTTTACATTTTTGAAGCGAAAGCGCTAAAATGTTGTAAGAATTTTGTATTCTTCGAATGCTTGCATAGTATTACTGGAATGCTGCTACATTTAAGTTGGTACGTGTTCAGTGTGTGTGTGTCTCCTAGACCAACGAGACTATCTAAGGTATTCAGACACCTATTGTTTTAAAAGGTTGCCTACATTTGGTTAGGTAAACCTTGCACACAAGACCTATTCATTTCGGTTCAAAAATGCTACCAACTAACAATTATCGTGGATAATAATAAAGTCCAGATGGAAACTCTTCATAATGTTAGAATGATAAATGTTTACGTTGTCAGAGAGCAATACAATATAACTTTACAGCCGTCGCCGGTTTTAACAATTATTGTCGGTTGTCGGTATTTTCACCCACTTGGACATTAGGGGGTAGCTAAACGATTTAATTGAAATAGAAGCACAGACCGTAGCCAACAGAAACGGGAGCCCACGTAATTATGGCAAAATGGAAAAAATAACGACATTTGGGTTCATTTGGGACGACTGTATTTTGAAATGGAAATCCCTCTGTGAATTACGCAACGTTTTATTATATTTTCGTTTCATGAAAATATTCATTTCCACCGTCGATAATGACACATTTTTGTTACGTTATCATTTCAAGGACGTACGGTGCGTGTACCTATTTTCATTTAATTAAGCCAGTTAGTTACACAAGACTAATAATGTGTTGGTAACATATACCTACATACATGGCTATGTACCAAAATATACTCGTGCCTACTTTTCAGAGAACCACTACTTCAGTTTTTTGATTGTAAAAAGAGTTCA